TGCAGATGCAACGAAGAGCTTCAGGTCACTATGTGACATCTGCAGTTGCCAGAAGCACAGTCTGTGCTCCTAATTCAATTCAAAATGAAGTTAAGAATACAGAGATGGGTAAAAAAATCTCATCATCTGATTTGACTTCTTTGGCTTTACAAAAAACAAATATTCCCTCTCCTCCTGCAGATCAAGAAAAAGTTGATGATGGAAAAATTACTGAACCTTCCACTTCTCCTGTTAAAAGCAATAAGCCTTTAAATGTTCCCTCCTGTCCTCCAGCACCACTGAATCTAAAAACTCTCAGAACTTTTGCAGTTCCAAAGCCATACTCCAGTTCAAGACCATCCCCTTTTGCTCTTGCTGTCTCATCTGCAGTCAAAAGGTCACAATCATTCAATAAGACACGTACGATCACTAGCCAGGCACCGAGGGAGGAATGTCCAGTGGAACTCTCCTCTGTCCCTTTGGCAGCTGGATTCTCCTCAGCTACCTCCATGCCTGAAGTGAAAAGTCCTTCCTTACAGACCGTAACGACGGGGTCACAAAATAGTCTAATGGATAAGGTAAACTTTATTTCCAATACTAACTGGCTGTAGCTCCAGTGCCATCACGTGCAAGTGGTGTTAAGGCTTGTTTCTGAACCGCTCCCTGGCCAGAAAGCGCTGGTTGTGCAGGGAAAACAAACACTGTCCACCTGCTGTCCACCAGTAGCACAGCATTGTAATGACATGCAGGAATGCAGGGAATGTTAAAAATAAAAGCAACATCATTCAGATGATTGGAAATAATTATTTCCTGCCATAATTAGCATCCCCTACTTTAAAGAACTGTAAATTATATAGTCATGTATCCTGTGTAATACTTATTTTTATGTTTGGAGTCTTTACAATTTGTTTTTTATAGTTCTGTGTGTTGGTTTCTTAAATTTAATTCTGAGTGGTGTGATCCATTTGGCTTCAAGTTGTCATGTCACAAGCACAGTTGAATGGAGCTATAAAGTTTTGCTAGCATAATTACTTGAGAGAAAAACTATGTGCTATGCTGGAAATGTGACTGATGTCAGAAATCTTGAACCAAGCAAACACTAGAATGGCAGCAGTTTGCTATGCAACCTTGTGCCGGGTTGTTTGAGATTTCCATTTATAACTAATTCAGATAAAACTTTTTGGCTCTTTTCCTTCCACTTCCTCCGTTTATAGAAAGGCAGCCATGTGCATAGTGAGCAGCAGAGTCAGGCGCAGTCAGGTGCTTCCCCTGACCACCCACGCCCTGTCACCAAGAGACAAACCGCGATGACGCTCCCGCGTGCTGACCCCGAACAGATCCACCAGAGCCTGCTGGCTGCAATCCGCTCTGGAGAAGCTGCTGCCAAATTGAAAAGGGTGAGTTTTCATCATTGCATCCAAAACAAAGAACTCATGGTACTTCCTTCAAAATTACCATACTAATGCCTGATTCTAAAAGCAGTTAGTTTTGGCATAAACTGCTGCCAGGAGATTGCTTAACAATGGGAAGGGAGGTGGGGGAAGAGTTTTGCAGAATAAACTGGTGAATGCACCCACAGAGCTTCAACTGTCTGTATTTCCATACTGTACAAACATAATTAAAATCTTCCTGAAATGAAATAGAAATCTCTAGGTTATCATTAAGTATCTTGTCCATAAAATCTGTCTTGTTTGTTTACATGGTTTGAAATGGTCTGGCTTTAGAAACCTGCTGAGCAGCTTTGTTCTAGGCCTGAAGTGGCTACAACCTTTTGCCAGCAGATAACACACAGTTCTGAAGACAATTTTCCTATTTATTACACTTTATCAGGTCCCTAATTTGTTAGGCATCATAACTAAGCTATTTCTCAATGTTTTGTCAACAGTCCTGGGAGGACCATCTTCCTCTAATCCCTCTGGTTAAAAACTTTCTCTCTTAAAATTAACCTACATATCTCTCATTGGGTAAAACAGTCTACATTTCTAAAGTCTGTACTATTTCAAGTTTGCAACCAGAAAATCATAGTCTTACAAAGTTTTATTGACCTCGTATTAGTATTTTGCATTCTGTTTTGAGGAATAATTTTTCATTGCAGAAGGTCAAAGAAATTCAGTATTCAATTATCTTTTCTATTCAATTCAATTCTCTTTTCCATTTGAAAGAACCTAATCCTTTGTGGTAGCTGGATACAAGGGACATGTTTGTTTATTTTATGGAAGCCTTTGATTCCCTCAGGTCAAAATCTCGCAGTGAATGGTCAGATAGTGGAACGTTCCATTTCATAGGTTTTTGTTTCAGTGTAGTAGTGCCACAGCCTCTCTGAGACTTGTAAATCTCCCATCCTTTCTACAGTGAATAGGAAGACTGAGTTTCCTGGAAAAGTTGCAAGCATGCTCAAGTAGGGTTTGATCTCTAGTCAGTAAAAATGGTATATAATACGGAATATAGAATTGCTTCTAACTACATGTCAGTAATCATATTAAAAACAGGATAAGATTAAGAAAATGCTGTATTATTCAGAATCCGTTAGAGGTAAAATCTGTTCTAGTAGAAATAATGTTTGGATTTTATTTGCATATATTTTTAAGATTTTTTTTTTTCTTCTAGTGCATAATTGCATTCTGAATAATATGATACATCATTTATTTATTCATTCTTTTGAATAGATATGTTCTTAGTGCAGAGTTGACCCATATAGTCTTTATCAGTCTAGGTACAAGAATGGCATGGGGAAGGGGAGAGAGATAATGACTGAAATTGCTTTTCCCCTCCGTTTCTCTTCTGTGGGTGGGAGATGTGCTTTGTCAGTAAATTACGTGTTGAGACTGGGGTGATCAAAGGACTGTACTTTTTAAGAAGAAATTATAATAATGAAGAAACTGTAACCATAAAGAAGAGCAGTCTGCCACACAGAAATCTGAACCAGTCTTAAAAAAACCCCTGGAACACAAACAAAATGCAGTGAAGAACTCACTGAAGTTTTGCCAAGCATAAAATTGTACATGCTGTTCTTTTTCACTCTCAGAGTGCGTATGCTGTGGTACAGGTATGTCTGACAGCAGAAAGAGATTTTTTTGGCCTACAGCAGATTTAATAAAAACATGGTCTCATTTTATGTTTAACGTGGAAAATGGCAGTAGTGGGACAGAAAAATGAAGCATTTTGTATCAATTATTTATTTGCACCCAAAAGTGCTTTTGAGAATTGAGAGGATTTCTAGAATGCATACACCTCATAGCTTCTAGTATTGTGCTGCAGTAAGGAAAAGGAGCAATAATCTGATCCATTTGAACAATGAGAGATGTCTGTTAGGAACTTGCTTCTCTTTTTACCTTTTACCATAATCTTTCTTCTTGCAGCTCTGAGAGTAATTTAAAAAATAAAATCCTGGCACAACTTGCCAAAATCTTTAATTTTTTTCACCCGGTGTTTTCCTAAATATGTTGTGAGTATGCAGTGCTGAGATCTGAGGCCTTTTGTGTTGCTGGTCTTTCCTGTTCAATAGGGCCCTCAGTAATTACTAACCTAAAATGGGTCAAGTGAGGTTTCTTTTTAACGATTTTTCTCTTGAGAATGTTTTCATTGTGTTTAGTAAACTCTGTGCTGTGGTATGTGGTTCTCATGGCAGTGGAGCATCTACAGCTCCCATTAACTCCATTTGGAGCTGTTGGGTTATGCAGTTCCACTGAAAATCAAGCTTTGGCTATCTGTGCTAAAAGTTATGGTTTGCTTCTGATAAAAGAAACCATGGTATAAAGTGTTTGAACATTTAGTAAGAAATCAGGTCTGTTCAATATTTAATATAAATGTTTGGTTTAGTGATATTTTTCAAGTACTTCTTTGCAACCAGGTGTGGAGAAGGACTAAAAATTGTGTCTTTTGAATAGTTATATATGAAAGTTTTAGTCAGGATAAAATACGTTTCTAAGTAATGTCTTCTATTTCCACTTCTGTGGAATATATGCTTAGTTAAGAAATCATACAGGAGATCTTCCATTGCAATGAGAAAAACACTAAATGAAGTAACATTGTGTAATGTAACATATTAGAGAGATAAAAATCTGGAAATTTAGGTTAACGTTTCTTTAATATTTTTCTTTTCTTTTTTTTCCCCCACCATGCCTCCAGGTTGGTCCTCCATCAAACACCATAGCTGTCAATGGAAGAGCCAAGCTTAATCCTTTGTATTCCACAGAAGCTAAGGCTAATCCCTAGATATTATACCAAATATTTTGCACTTTACTACTGCTTCATAGGCCAACTTAATACTAACTACAAATTTTTGAATGTGTAAATGCAAGTATATGTTAATATATTTTTGTCAACGGTAATAACAATTTCAAGCTGGGTCTTTTGATGCCTTGAAAAGATTATAAGAATATGTAAATTATAGAATATTTTGCCTTTTTCTCTTTATAAAGCTGACTATGCTGCTAAAAAGTTTTAAGACAAGGTGTAGGTGAGCTTTGCTTATGATAGAATGAGAATTGAAGATTCTTGATTTTAGCCTTCAAGACTGAACAATATGTAGCACTATGCTGAAATTACAGATTGGAAGCAACCTAAAAGTTTTATATCAAATAATTAATTTTCGACTGTGTATTATGTTAACAGATTGTATGAACTTAAATATACCACATGCTGCCTCCGTATTACTTTATTAAATTAAAATTGTAATTAGTAGAAATCTTAATTCAATGCAATACTTGGTTTCTGTCTAAAAGAATTAGATATTTTAGTTCCTTTAGCAGACAGTAATTGGGATATGTATTTTGATTATATTTTTACTCTCCTGTAATTGTTTTTCCTGGTAGCACACACACACAAATATCAGGACATAAATTATTGGAAATTTTTGTACTAATCAAAACCTTTTCTTAACGGTAGCATGACATAATGTTTTTCAACTACTCTTTAAATATCTGTATGTAGTATTTACCTAGCACTCAGATAAGCAATAATTTTTGTGAACTAAGTCTATCTTTAAGTAACTATCAACATGTAGTCGCTTACTAATAAAAAACAAATTCCAGTTTTGATACTTAAGAAATAGAATATTTTTTTCACTAGAAATATAACTAAAAAATGAACTGCTTTGGACTTATTAATATAAGATATTTCAATATAAAAGCAACACAAAACCACATAAATCATGCTTATGTTGGAGATCATATTTATAGATTAAGCATTAAATACAAAATTGGGAATATATATTAAAAGAAAATGTTTGATGTTATATTTTATATTTTGAGTTTCTTGTCAAGATTATACATTTTGGGGGAGGGGTGGAAATATGATCACACTCATGATTAAATAGCTACATTATGGATGCATACAGCAAGTCCTGGGGTGTTTGCCATATTAAAATATTTTTGTGCTGGACTTGATTTAAAATTAAGCAATTGTATTTAGTTTTTATTCTCTAATAATATATATATATTGTACTTTAGAAACATTATGTAAGTCAGTTTTAGAAACTGATCTAGATGTGCATTTTCAAACTGCTGCCAGGTTTTTGTGCAATAATCTCAAGGAGGTCTAATTACTTTCCTAGTACAGAGTCAATTACCAATTACAAGTATGGTGGTAATTCTGAAACCCTTTAAGGAATGTTTTAGTAAATAGAAGTTCATAAAAAGATCTGAAGAACATTCTTTCATTGCTGTTCTATCCTCTTTTCTCTCCTGTATCTCAGTCCCTTGTCAATGTGTGTTACCACTTCCATGTCCTCCTTGTTCTTGCCTCCAGTCAATAGTTTATTCTGTGGGTGGGGGAAGCTCACATGGTAGTTCAAAAGATCTGTTTCAGGGTCTGACTGCAAAAGAATGTTTCACCCTTCACTTGAAAATAGTGAAATGAAAGATATAGGGGCTTTTCTAATTTCTAACTGGGCTTACATTCTAGATTTCACTGTGTCTTGAGGGATAGACTTGAAAATTGTAACTTGCTCCCTGTATTCATGTCTGTGCTCATTGTGATATTTGAAGTATAGGAATGCCTAAAACACAGACACCATGCTGATGTGAAACTGCCAGAGAAGGGGCTGCATTGTGAAAATATTCTCTTCCTTGTACTTTGGGTGTGTGGGAGTTACAGGGTTTTTTCCTGTGTTGGTATTCACTGCCAAGGTGACCAAAGTTATTTCGTAAAATAATTTTAATCTCCATCTGTGCTAATACAAATATATATGATGTTTCACTTTTTCAAACAAATCAACATAGTCTGAATTCTTATTTTGGGAAAGTTTAAATAACCATACTTTGTTCTTTTCTTTAGTTTTAACTACAAAACTGTGCTGCTGTATGGTTTTTAGTCCTGTATATTAAAAATAAACTGCCTTTTCATGTGAATTCCTGAAGGCAAATAACATCTTATGTAACAGAGATTAAAACCACCTTGCCTGAATTTTAGGGTTTCTTCTTTTTGTAACTGAACTTGCTTGATAACTAATTGAAATGTCTACACATGCTACAGTACTGTGAAACTCTTCAATGAGACTTTTTACTAGCTGGCAGTTTTGTTTAGCTAAACTTTGGCTTTCCCTCTTCTTCCAACATGTATATGTAAGACATTTTTAAATCTTGCTATTGTATTTCTACAGATGCTTTTGTTTTTTCTTACACTCTTTTATTAAAGTCTACTAGAGACGCTTGTTGAACTTGATGTGTTTATTCATTATTCAACCATAAAAACATTTCTGCTCAAGTAAGAAGTAAGTGTTCCTAGTAACTGCAAGCCCAAGATAGACAACATTTAATTTTTGTTGTAGATACCTTACATGCAGGGTAAACAGACTGTTTTTTCAGCCCAAACGTAGAGTTTGGACAACATGTATCACAGATGTTTTCCAACAGGAGGAAACTAGTTACACAATACCTCTTATAATCCCCTTGCTTTTGCATGGCAGTCAGAATGTTCAGGAATGAAAGTCAGGATACTGAAGTAAATGAAATGTCAGTGTAATTGTCCAGACAAAACAGCAGGCCCCAGTGAAGCTGCATTATGACCTACTGGTACCATTCTTTGAAGAAGCAGCAGGTATCCACATAGCACAGTGCACAGTCCAGACTCCAGGTCTTTCAAGTTAAGGAGGGCTAGCAAAGCAAAGAGGTAGTAAAAATTATCTTGTTAGCTACCATAGAAGATATACTTTTTAAATTTACTATACAAAAGAATAAAATTAAGACTACAGATGTACCTGGAGAAGGGAGCAGTTTTGCCGGGACAGCACCACCAGATAACTTTTGGAAATATTCTTGTGACTAAAGGTTGTAAGTCTAAGGTAAGAGTTCTCATATTTTGCAGCTGCAAGATGTTGGACCACTCAGTGTCTCTATTTTTGGGATGTACATTCAGTAATCAGTGCCTTAGTTTTACCAGCTACTTGTAACATACAACATGAGGATCTCCAATAAGACATGAAAATTATGTGGATATGGACAAGAAGCATGGTATCACAAATGACAGCACCTGATACTTTTAACTGGGTTTATTTCAGGTAGCTGTTACCAGACAAAGCAAATATTTTCAGTTGGAGCTACTTAGAATCCTATTTTAAGTTGCCAAAAGGTTTGCACTACTTCTGTTAAATAGAAGCAAAGAAAAAGTGCTGTTGAGCAGTAGGGTGTGAATGCTTGGCCAGACTGCATCTTATGAGGTGTTGGACACCTACAGCAAGATAAAAGACTAAATGTAAATGACTAAGCAGGTGCGTTGGGATCCGAACAAATCGAGCTCCTTGTAGAAGGGAACATGTCTTAAATTTTTCTGTCTGGGTTAGCTGACTGTGAGGCTGAAGTCAAAGTGGTGTGTTTGGACCAGACCTGCCACAATCATGGGCCCAAAACTGTTCGTGGATGCTGTGAATGGCCTGAGGTTCTGGAGCTGTGGTGTTCTGTTAGTGCTTGGCTGCTGACGGCATAGCTGAAATATCACTTGTTGTAGACAGATTGCTTATGAAGTCTATTTTGGTGATAAAGCAAAGCTGTAGCAATATCAATGGAAATGTTTCACAGCTTCTAATTGAAAAGCATGCCTTCTATGGGGGATTATTTTATATAACCCAATGGAAAATCACAGCTAGGGCGCATGGTTTTTTCTTCAAAATTTCTGATTAGGTAGCTTTGTGAGAGGGAAAGTGTCCTTGTTAAAATGACATGAAATTTCCAAGCATGGTAAACTTATGCTTGTTGAAAACTTAAATACTTAATTTTGTTTTGTCTTCCTTGAAAGAGCTACTTTATATGGAAACTAACTCTTCATTAAGAATCTATTGCAATATATTGTACATAAAGTTCCATTACGTTTGTCATCTGTTCCTACTTTTTAACACAAGCAACTTACTTTTTTGGTGGGTTTATGTCTTCAATGAGCATATTTGGAAGAGATGTATAGTTTTCTCATTTTTAGCTGTATTAAACCTCACGTTCACTAACAGTACAACAGGTAGTGTTTAAGTGAAAGAGGAGATGACACTTCTCTTTTCACATCCCTCCTTCACCATAAAAAGATCACCAAAACTGTTAATGGACAAAATTATTCCTAAACTATTCAAGACAGTTAAGAGAAAAAAAATAATGGGAGGGGGAAGGATAAGGGATGAGGTAGAGATAAAAGGAATTTCACTTTTTTTGATCTAGATGCTTTTCTTGAACAGCATGTTCCACATTTGCTAATATAGTGATAGAGGAAAATCTCTTAACATGGGGAAAAGGAAAAATAAATGTATCCAAAAAGGAATAATTTCAGGAAATTTCAACTTAGTAGTAGCATTATTAGTATTATTTCATAGTGATTGTGTACATATGGACCTGGAAATAATTAGGGCTGTATCTTTGTCAGCTGAAATAGAACTCTAGTGCCAAAAGGAACCCCAAAGAGTTTACTTGGCATGTAAGCTGCTAATTCCTCTGTGAACTTCCCAGACTTTGAGAACAGTCTTGTGCCCATAACATAGCACTGTCATTATAAACAAACACTAGTGATATTTGCTTGTTAACAGTTTGTGATTGTACAATGAGTGTGTTTTTAGTGGCTGTTTTGTTGATAGCAGCTGTTCTGGGTGAAGAACAATTGTCTTCTGTTTCAACAAATCTGCTGGTGATTTCTAAAGCATTAGTTTCCATGAGTGTCTAAACATTCCCAAAGAATGCTTATAACAGGAGTTTGAGGGGTAGGGTGGGAAGCTTATTCTTAAATTTGCCCTTAGTAATTTCAATAGTCTCAGAACAAATTGTACAGTTTTTACTGAGAGTTGGGTCACTATTAATACAAATAACAAACATGATATGTAATCTGTGCTTGTTAAGACAATACTAGAATGCATTCTTCAGAAATTCCTAGTCTTCCAGACCGATGGAATAAATTTTCTTTAATCTCTTCATCTATTTTACCAGTTGTTCTCAGTACTAAGCAGGGCAGGTTTTGCTTTGCCTGTCATATCTGATGTCATCACAGCCAGAGCAACAAGAACACGCTAAAATACCAGACATCCAAGGAAATCTTCACAAGTGACAGAAAAGTGTAAAGAATGTGAATATTAAAGACTAGGTTTGTGTTAGTGGTGGTGAACATCCAAAGGAGTAAAGGAATTGAAGCATACAATCAGCCCAGGGCAGAGGGAGAGTTAAGTCCACAGAACCTCCATCAACTGCTAAAAAAAAAAAAATCTGGCCAACACTGTCTGTTTGCAAGTGCTAGTGTACTCAGTGTGCTAGTGCTGGTGTACATTAACCACTAGAGTACTTACAAATGATTAAAATATTTCTAGTTTAAAAATACTTAATAAACTATAGCTGGACTCAGAATTTTGTAATTTTCCCGCAGCTATATGTGTCTGTCTACCTGTTTAATGTCTTTTTCCTTTTTTCCCCCCTATGTGATCCTGAGCAAGAAAGACTACCATCTAACAGGCTATAGTCACGCTTAATCTGAAGTGACAAAGCAAGAGAAAATGAATTTATTTCACATTTGCTTAAGGCTTTATATAGCTCTGTTTTATCAATAATACAATAAAAATAATATTTTAAATAGTTAAGCTGATTGCAGTTTTCTAAATTAAATACTTGAACTAAATGGGGAGATGAAATTCAGGAGCTGAAATTGGTCACCTTTGGTTAAACAGCATGATTGGCCTGATCAGCAGACACCATTCCATTGCTTCAATTGCTAAAAGCTAATTAAACACTTGATTTCTGCTAACTGACGTGTATTTGGCCACCTGCAGTTTCAAAGTGCATGTCCCAGAAAGGAAATCCCTACACTATCAATGCCAAGCTGCTGCAATTCTAAACTTCAGCATCTAAATGAAACAAGGAGGTGAAGCAAAGGTTGAAGAAGTGGATTGCAGAAAACTTCCTTTTTAAATTGCAGAGGACTGGGAGCAAGCTGGGCACCCAGGCAGCTGCAGAGGTAGGTGCCTCACTGTCAAGGATTAGCATGCTGTTAACCCTTCTCAGGAGCAGCACTAGAGCCAGGGTGAGTCTTGAATAGTCAGAAGGCAGTTGAGCTGCTGGTGGCCCCAGCTCTTTAAGCATGATTTGACCATCTCTGACACATCTGTGTAACCTCACCTGAGCTCTGCTGTGAGCTGTGTTAAGAGCTTTAGCAGAAGCTACCATGAGACATAGGCACAAGCTCTATGTATCAAGTTCACCCAGGGCTTGGCTCCTCAGGAGAAGGAACCACAGAAGATGGAGTTCTGGGGTACATGGGCTGCAAGGCTCTACCTGTAAATAATGACTTTTTTTTTTTTTTCACTTTATTCAAGCTCTGCTGTTGTGTTCTTTAAAAGAAAATTTCAGAAGTAAAAAAAATATTTTCGACTGTCAGGTGTGCTTGAAAGTTCAATAGACATAAAAGACACAGCCATTGCTGCCAACTAAAGATGAAAAGGTGTAATGAAGGGTCTGCTAGCCCATATTGTCAGGAAAAGGAAGTAGGTGTGTCTTGTAAAATTTACATTGCTTTAAAAACATAATTTGGAGGTGATTTGAAATGTGAGTTGCCTGATCATCAGTGGGAAAAGCAACATATGCAGGAATCAAATAAATCTCCAAGTGAAAAATAAAGATGTTAAAAGCAGCAGAATTTCAGATTGAATTCTGACTCTTTAAATTGCTTATCTAACAGTGAAAGGCAATTTGGGTGAGAGAACAAAACAAGACCTTTGGAAACTATGTGAAGAGAGATTAGAGTGGGGTTGCTTTAGTTAAAAAAAAAAAGGAAAAACTGGTTAGGATGACGTAACCATGTTTCAATACAAAAACTGCTACATGAATGCAAGTGATTAATCATTGTACTATCAAGCAATAGGCTGCTCTAGCTTTAGAGCATAAAGGAAGAATAGTTATGCTGGATAAAACTGGAGGTTTATTTAGCTGGCTATCTGGCTTTTGACAATGATCAAAGTATATGCTTAGGGAAAAACATAAGATTATAAAACACACAAAGTAATACTTACCCCCAGGTATGCTAAACCTTCAACATTTTTAACTCTGAGAATGACAAAGGGAATATGATTTTATGTATCTAATAGTCTTAAATAGTCTTGTTCAAGAGCTTGGCAACTTATTTTTTCAACTCCCAGAAATCTTGAACAGTGACACATTCCTGTGTAACATGTAGTTTTTCAGCTTAATGATACACTGTCTGAAAAATGATTTTTTGTTTGTTGTGAACTTCTACTTGCTTGCCTAATTTAATCCTCTCCAGTACTTTTCCTGAAAGAGATATTAACTCATCAATCCCCATCCATGCTTCTCGGTTCCACTCATATCCTTACATAACATCAGGAGTTGTGCCATAGGCATTTGAGGCTTGTACGTTTTGCTACTTTATTAATCATATGTCAGCAAGGTTTGCAAAAAAAAAAAAAAAATGTTGCTCTGAGCATGCCTATATTTTATTTCTCTCAATATCGTGAGAAGAGGATTTTTTTTCTTAAGACACATTATTTTAATCTGTCTCCTTTTGCTGTAGCGGGTCACCTACAAGATATACCTATTCTGTACAAGACCAAAGTTCTAGAAAGGTTTGTGTGTCATGCTTCTAAAGCACTAAACATTGAGCTGAATAGAATCTTGTGAATCCTATTTATTCACTGCTGTGATCACCTGATTCACAGGTGATTTTTCAGTTCTCCGGCCAGTGAACAAAAGCACTTCAAACCTTAAGGATATGATATATACTTAGTCATTAATTTCAACTTAAAGACTATGTACTTGGATGTTAAGTACTTTTGTATACAAATACAAGCATCTGTCCAGAAATCTGGAACAGGGCAAATGTATTGCCTTTAGTTCAAACACTCTAGCCTGGCTTACAATGAAATGCTATTTTTTCCTGAACTGTTTCTGCTGATTCATTGTTATCTTACTTTGTATTGCAATGTTTAAGTGAAACATGCTGCTTTATCTGTCTTTAAATGAACTACCTTTGTGGCAGTGTTTTTAGATGGGTCTTTTGATGCCTTTTTAATGGTACATTAAAACTTAATGATTGCTGAGTAACACTAGAATCCCCATGGAAGCACATATGGTATCTGCATTAATACTGAATGAATGCATAATGATCAGTAGAATTTCAGTGATTTCCACATGAATCAACAGTGATGAGCCACTTAGTGCTACACTCAATTACATCATGTTTAATTTATGTAGCATTGTTTGGACATTATGTTTAAAACGTCTTTAGTAAATCATTGAAACGCTAATTGAGCCTCCATTTCAGGAACAAATTACAGTGTAAACATAAAATTCATTTTTTTAACACAACAATTAATTTTTCTTGAAGCCCACTTGCAAAGGGTCAACAATTTGATTTATTCTCACTATTATTCCCTGAGAAATAGAATCCTAGTATGAAAATGGATTGTCGTAGCTGTTAAATTGTTTCTGTTCCCTTAGTTGTGCAGCCACCGGACACTGGAAATGCATTAATTCCCTGAACTCTGGAAAAAATGGCAATACTTCACCTGCCCTATATGACTGCTGCCAAGCAGTTCAGAAGACTTTTCAGGTCAGATCTTGCCCAGATCTATGCAGCAGGCTCAGAAGAGTCTCCACAATGCCTGAATAACACCACATCACCTCTCCTGTTTGGGAGGCCCTTCTGGCACATCTATGACTTCCTTACAGCAAGGTGTGCCAAGAGCTTTTGAAGAGTGACTATGCCATCGTCTGCCAGAGGCAGACAAAGTGATGGTGAGGGAACCTACACCAAAAGCAGACACTTCCTTTCAGCTGTTCTCCCATCTTGTGCAGGACCAGGAAGCAAACGTGGTGTTGATTGCCTGTGCAGAGGAATATAGTTTTGCCTCACCTCCAAAACATCACACAGGTATGAGAACCTACTGCCTAACTCCTGCTCCATGTGGTAGCACACTGAACACGGGCTGTTGCTTGGCCCTGGGCTAAAGGCTGGAAAAAGCCACCAGTGGCAGCCCTCCACTGAAGTCTTCCACAGTAACCAACAGTATTTAAACAGGGTCCAGACTTACCAAAGAACGCTGTGTTGGATTCCCCTTTCCAAACTGAGTCCTCATGGAAACTGGAGATACACATATATCTGATAATAGCAAAAAATAGTACAAATAAAGGTGCTTTGTAAGACAAAATGGAAATAAAATATGCATACTCCAAATCTCCCTAGCCACAGTAAACTTCTCGGCTTCCATTTTTCCTGATACTTTTTAGCAGATAACACACTGACACACTGTTTCCGGGGGTGTCTCCTTGAGCTGGTTTTGGACAGGTTCCATAGCAGGTCTGTAAAGATTCGTTCATAGAATAAAGCTGAGTTTGCCTCTTTTACTCAATCAGCTGAGTTACTCAAAGAGCCATCTAAACTGTCTGACTTGTGGCAGAGAGGACACTGCCTTCCACTGCTCCAGAAGGGACCTTGTTCGGGCCAGCAAGGTCCTATCAAGGGTCATTTTGACTTGAATATTCATCCTCAAAAATCCCTGGTCCAATTACAGTAAGCTGGTGAGGTCTTGGCTTAGGGGAGTTTTAGTTCTTTGAAGTTGTCCAATAGTTGTCTTAACAAAGAGGACTAGAGAGAAAGAGGACTCTGTTAGGAGACAAGATCCTACCACCTATTTGCAAAAAAATCTGTGCATTTATTTTTAGCTTTGGCAGTTTTTCTGGGTTGGCTTCTAGCACTAGGCACTGCATCCAGTTACTAGAGTTTATAGGGGATTTAACAGCTATGAGTTCACAAAGCTATAATTTAAATTTACTTTTCTTTTTAATCTACTTAAGATTATCTGATAACTGGCAAGGCATCTGACAAACAGCTGGCCAGTAACTTTGTTAGAATATCCATAGACAAAGAACTTTATAATGATAATGATGATAACAATACCTGCTCCCATTTCTCTGGATTGCTGAAAAATGCAAATTCAGACCTTTAATGATTGCAGCTCAGGCTTTCATTTCTGACAGCAAACTGCGAGAAAAAAAATCTTTCCATCCTAAGCAACTGTAAAAGAAGCTATCAGAGGTGGGTGTTTTTGTTGTTGTGGGTTTTTTTTTCTAAATTATAATTCACTTCATTCTTGTTAAAATAATTTAATGCATGAAGTGTAAGAGAAGATTCTTATGGTGAACCTTTTTATTTTGCTTTTAAAAAGTTCTTTTTTGGTTTATGTTGATTTCATGATTCAGGAATTCTATGCCATGTTAATTTAATTCAGTTTTAATCTGAATTGAATAAAATATATGCTAGCTTGCTGGCTATGATGATAAAATGCATGTACTGCTTAAAGAGAAAGTGTTTGAAATATACCAAATAATCTGAAATGCACTTCTCTTCAATGTATGCCTAATAGATTTTAATGATGTAATTATTTTTAATTTTTATGTTGCTATATATATTTTAGAACCTGCCAAGTAAGAATATCTTTTAGAATTAGATGGAATGAGGTTATAATATTACTATAACATTTGGAATAACACCAGTATAAGGAACAGGAGAAGAAAACAATTGAATATATGCCTTGAGCTACATGATGACTATTCAAACAGACATCACAGAAAATTATATTTCCTTGACTAGTGTTGTGGTTACAGTGATATAATTCATGTTTCATAACTCTGAAGAAATAATGAAGACATTATAACCAGAAATGTGTCAATTTGAATAAATTTATTATGAATTGCTTTGGTTTAAAAGCTCCCAATATGTTATAATAGAAGCCTACGTTCCTGCTTGAGAGCCAGCCAAACTGGGGTTTTAATATTTTAACAAATCACTTAATGGTAGATTTTTCTCTTGAAATAAACAAAAGGAGAAATGTTCTGAAGGTACTGTGATAATAAAAGATATTAAAATATATCTTTCTTGCTCCCCGTGGAAATTCAAACAGCTTTTGCCTGAATCCAAGTTGCAATTAGGCAAAATTCAGCCCATGCAATAATTAACTTCCTTCACCCGTTGCTGAACTGCAATTACATTTGGATCGAATGCAATATTCAATGGGCTACCTCCAGCTACACTGCAAAGTACCTTCTCCAAATAAAAGCATGCAGTTTGGGAATGTTAATTGGAATTTGGTTAAGGGACTTGCACAAAGTCCAGTATATCAGTCAGTAAGTTTCATGTATCACGCTCAGCAATATATCTTGGCTTTAATATGATTAATAGGTGGTATTGGCTCTGTGGTCAGGGCTTGACAAAATGCTAAAATGGGCTTGAGGCCTTGAAGAGCTACTACAGGAGGAAGAATCCTCAAACTCACTTTGTCAGTTCCAATTCTTTAAGAGACTTTCAATGGTTTGAACTTTTACCAGTAGGCTTTTTGCCAGATTAGTTACTGTCTGTCCTCCCACATCTCATAATGAGAACACAAAAACCATAAAGCTACTACAGATTCTTTGTCGTGTGCTGTGGCAAATTTGATAGAACTGTGCCTCTATGTTCAGTCCATCTGTGGGATGGATATGTCATCTTGAGTGATCCAGCAGCACAGAAATCCAGTCATAAGAAAGTATACCAAGTTCAGTGTGCAGTATAAAGACCTGGACATTATAGAAAGGGGATGTATTAGTCCAGTAGTTCTTCCTGATGGATAGGATGAAAGCTCAAGTATATTTGAAGTCAAAAAACTTCACTGTCACTGTCTTATAAAGTAAGTTCAAGTAGTGTTAAAAAAAAAGAAGAAAAAAACATTCTTCTTTCTTATATTATAATTTTGAGACAAGTATAATGGGTTGGGAAAAATTTATGAAAGTGGAGGAGAACACTGAAGGTTGAATTTGAAAGGGCTGACTTACATAATTTGTAGGGCTGGCTATAATATTTTTTTTAATTTTAGATATGATCTCAGTTTGTACTTCTTCTTTCCAAATATTCAGATACACCAAATGTTAAATTTCTTTGAAGTCAGGTGCAAATTATTTATGAACTTGCTCAGTAGCCAGCATTTTTCTCCCCTTGCCCTGCCACCCCAAGGGAAATTCTGTAAGACTTTTTGACTGTTAAACAGAATTTATAAGGTTACTATGTGTAACATAATTGTCTAGAATTATCTTCTATGTTGTTTTTCATATACTCTGGAGTATCTCCTTCATAAATACACAAAAGCAAAATAGATAGTTGCTTACATTTAGTGTTATAAAATTGTTCTCCTTGTCATGGTAAAATTATGACTATTAGGAAAAAAAAATTAAATTCTAGTAGGTACTAAACAACTCCAGAGTAGGTCTTTGATTAACATAAAATCAAAGGAAAAGGTACTTTTTTCTCCAGCTCAAAGGAAAAATGCATTTTGGACGAGATTTAAAGCTGATTTATTGCTTGAAGTGGCAAAGTATTAATGCATTTTACCTTTTTTAAATTTTATTTTTAGAAACAAAAATCCTTCATTATACAAAGAAGGACAGCCTGATTGTTAGAGTACTAATTTTGGACTCAGAGTTTGCATTTCTTACTGAGCAACAAATTCCATTAGCTTTTGAGAAAATCACTTAGCAAATTAATTGCATTGTCTAATTTTCAACAGCAAAAAGAGATGTTTAAGTAAGAAGACAGTTCTCCTAAGGTTTTCTGTGTATTCAGAGGAAACAAAAAGTTTTTCTGGGATGGTTGCCAGTGTTAAAACCCCTGTGTTTTTCAATTGACATCTGGAGTCTTCTGTTTCTCTCCTTTGTGATGGCCAATCCAACACAGTATAGTTGTCTAAAGTCAGGTAGTCTGAACACCCTCTTGGGGTTAATTTTTAAACCTGTTCCGGCACATAAAGATGCAAACACTTACTCATCCGTATGAAGGGAATAAATACATTAAAATGTTAGGTGCATTGATGTTGTGATAATTAGGTCTGTAAGTGCTGAGATTGGCATTGTTAGATAGGGTTCCTGAATTACAGAGATTTGCATTAATAACCTTTTAATACAGTAACTTCAAGTAGTCAGCACAATGCTTTTAAAATATGAACGGTAGGTTGGTTTTTCAAACGTTTGTTGAATATCTCATTTCCTGAATATAGATTTCTTGGAATAACTCTTGAGACAGAGAAAATGACCTTCTCTGTGTGATTAATTCATTCCAAAGAGAGCTAAATGTCCTACCAGGTGATGTATTAAAGTGGTAGCAGGTATGTTATCATACAGTGGCACTACCTCCAGAATTCCAGCTGGACTGATGAGCATTTGTTTGGTTTCTGTCATTTGGCAGAAACATAATGACTCCATCATCAGGGTTCAGCAGAGCTTTCCGTTTCAGAGCCCATTTTCAAGGCATTCTAAATTGCACATGCACAGGTAGATTGATTTGAAAATTGCTTTGCTCAACCAGGGCTGGTGCAAATTTGGGGGTGCTAATCTGGGCTAGATTATTCCAGTGATTTTGGAAGAGAAAAATTCCTCCTTCCCTCACATGTATGCAGATATGCATATGAACACATTTCTTACTGTTCCCAGAATTAGAGAAAATCTCCTTAGATCTGATGAAAGCTTTAAAAATCCAGTTTCACACTGCAGTATGCCTGATGTTCCTAGACTTTGTTTCTTAAAGCCACAGCTAGATTTTTGCAAGCTGCATATTACAGAAGCAGAAAATAAATATTATGATTGAAGTGTAGACACCTAAATACAAGTGACTGGTGGCATATTTAATACCCAATGATATCTGAAACACCCCCACAGGACAGACCTGTGTGAAATCTGTGCCATCTTAGGGCATGGTAGAATTGGGATCTAAATTGGTATGAAATGTCTGCATTTGGACAAACAAATCTCTTTACATAAATTCTTCCAAAAACAGAATTAATTTTGTCTTTCAATTGCATACATCAGCCTTGTACTCTGATAACAAAAGTGGAGTGCTGCATGCCTTGAGTCTGACTAGGTATGGAGTTTCTTTAAGTCCAAAGGAAGTTTACATCTGCCTTCCTTTTTGCATGTATCTGGAGACTCTGATTGTGCTTTGTCTGGTTCTACTATTTCAGTGTCCTTGGCAGCAGCTCAGAAATGGCTGAGACTTATGAGTGGTGTGGCTGTTTATGAAAAGTCATTTTAGCTCTACATTTCTTGTTTCTATTTTCTTTGTGGTTAGTTTGGGTTTGTTTGGGGGGGTTGGGTTTTTTGTTGTTTTGTTTTTGCTTTTTTTTAATGCTTGTATTTTGTTTCCCACTCTACAAAATGACTAGTGTTAAAGGATCTCAAATCTGATTTCCCAGCAACTCACAGAAACTAAACTCCTATGTGCTGGATAAACACATGGAA